TGTAGTGGCTTTGTTTGATCCGTTGGATATCATGCTATATTAATACCTGTTCCATGGGAACTTTAGCGTTCATTCCATTTTCTTTGTAATCTGAACTATTCTTTCATTTATCTCAACTTCTTTACTCTGATTCTATTTACTTAACGTCGTCATATGATTGATTCTATCATTGTGAAACAGTGTGTTAGTTCTGTCCACTATTGATGGTTCACCAAACTTGTAATCCTTTAGAAGTTCAGTCATCGCTTTCAGCAAACGAGGGATTAAGCGGTACGGATGAAGTATTTTCAAAGGTGGAACATCGACGACGCCGAATAAGACGGGAAATTTAATGCCAAAAATGGTCATGTGGTCGAAGAAAGGGATGAAAGTTCGGTCGTGACCGTCGTCGTCGAATCACAGTGTATTCTTGTGATGCTTGGCATTTTTCGGTTATTTGGGGTATTGTTAAAATGATTTATATAATGCTGAGATTTGCGCGAGCCCACATGCGGAACCTTTACTGGATGTCGTATTTACTTCTCGATGATTTTTATTTCATTTACTAAGTTCGATTCTTTTGTTGATGTATGTGCAAGGTTAGTGATTTTCGCGGTGTGGTGTCATTCTGAAGTTTTTTTGAATTCTGTTTTGTGTCATGCTGCACTGAACATTCGAACGTTTATTTTCACTGTACTAACAGTGCCAAGAATATTGTTGAGTACTTGTTCACTTTTGAATACATGCTATTCCGGTACGATGTAATTGCGTCGCAGAGTACTGCTTGACGTTCGCTAATGTTATTTGCTACAGTAAACTGACACTTATGAAATAGGTAGTCATTTTTGCAAGTTACATGAAGTGAACTGGTAATTAGGCCAGATATGCATAGTAGTCAATGATGTCTTCTTATTGATGTCAAAAATGGTCTCTAGTTTCATGCCAACAATGAATATCTTGCCATGTACAGAGGGCATTAAAATCGTTCTGTAATTTTTAATCGGTCAAACCGGTATCGATCGACAGTACGTGATCCATTCTTTATGTTGAAGAGTATAAATTCACCGGTTCATGTGCGGTCTGTGGCAAAGCAAATGCCTGGTCTACAAGAGTTATCAGGACGGCTTTTACGCATTCCACCGCTATATATTACTTTAGTACTAGTGATGCATGAAATATTTGTTGCATATGCAAAACGTTCATTGCCGACGTTGATACGGCTTGCAGCAATATACAGTTTGCAGCTGTATAAGCCGGAGCTGATACGGTTTGCAGCAATATACAAAATGAGATTTGAAAACCAGAAATTTCTTTCAATAATTGCGCCGCTCCGTGCTGTTGCACCGCCCTTCGCTTCCACTGCATGGTGCCCCACAGGTTTGTTCCATCAGTGAAAAGGAGAGAGGGAAAGTCTGAAACAGTTTAGATTTGAGACCCGTATACTTCAATGGTTAGTTGTTATATAAAGCGCTCTTTCATGGAAATTAGGTTGCAGCGCTATTCTTCATTTCTCTGTCTTCAGTTGGGAGTGCATTCCTTTCTAAGGCTATATCTACAATTAAGTGATCGTTGTAGTCTGTAGCCCTTCATACGATGTAGTACTCAAATGCCCCCAGCGGTGCTTAAGTTCAGGACCGCACTACTTTGAGTCCAACTTCTGACTGTGCAGCTCCTCATCCTTGTTCGTATAAGGCGATGCTGCTGCAGGCTTCAGCATTGTTAGTATTACTTTCTCCCTCTTTTCCAATTAACATTTGAGTTCAAACACAGTTACACTAATTTCACAAACTTATTTTTGTGTTTGCAAATGCTCCAAGACGACGCAGGAGCAATTATGAATTCAACCGGTAGCCCTTGGATGCTTCGGATGCAACGGGTGACTGCTAGCAATCAGCATGCTACGATACAGGCAGCTGCATCTGTTATTCTCGCATTGCGGACAGCAATCTCTCCAACGGACTTTGCTACTCTTAACATTACTGCTTCACACAGTAATTTGAAGTCCTCCGTTAAGCCTCAGACTATCACTAGGTTAGAGTAGGTGATCAAGGAAACGATGCATATGAAAATGAAGAGGCGCATTGCTTCGCTTCATGGGGATGCAGGTAGTTTGTTTAGCCTAAATAAATAATATGATGTCCGACGAACCTTTGCAAATACTGAAGTCATGTAGTCCAGCAAGTCTAGTCTACTGCTTAGTGTGATCAAAAGATAATTTGCGGTGTAGTAAAAAAGGATTAACTCGCCCTTCAAGCTGATACGATGAAGAAGAGTAGATTGGATGATCTGACGTTCTTCATTAAGCAGGTTAGTTGGGCGCCACCTTTCTGACGGTTAAAACTTGAACTGCTGCTCCTGTTCCATTACTCGATGCCTTTCACTGCATTTTACGGACTGTGAAAGTCCCGCTCCTTTCGGATTTAAGAAATAAGCACTGTATCATCAGTGTACTTTATGCAGGAGATAGGACTGGCGGTGCGTAGCGAGCTCCCGTAAAAGTTGAGGAGTAGGATTGGTATCACTGAAATGATGGTACCGTAGATGCCGAAGTTGTTTCGCCTCGTCGATGAACAGCGCTTTCCAACTGCTATGGACTCTCGCTGGTCAGAGAAATGATCTGCAAGCCAGCGGAGCAGGTTGTTCTCTAAGACAAGTTTTTTACAGACAGCAGAGAAGGGCATCTCTTGGCACGAGGATGAAAGCCGCTGAAAGGGTTAAGAAGACGATTTTCGCAATGGTACTGTCACAGTCAAGTGTGGAGGCCAGCAAACGCGTAGAGTAAGCTTGTGTATCGAGTGTGAAACAGCCGTGCGTGAAAGCGAATTGCTTGCCGTCTTTCGCTCTCTGAAGTTGATTGAGGAACACCGGTCGAACGAGGGCCTCTGCAAAAACACAGAGGTCAAGGCGAGTGGACGAAAGTCCTCTAATTTTGTCGCAGAAATCGTCTTTGGAATATGAGTAATTTTGCACGTTCGCCAGCAATCCCGAATGACTGCAGAACGCGGGCAGTGCGTGCGATGCGTGATCGTGAAAGTATACAATAAACTGTGTAACTGAGCAGCGACATCCAGTGCATCTTTGTTCGTGGAATATTTGGTTAGTGCGTTAATGAAAATGCAATACGCAAAAGGGATTATTGCTATACAAAATCATGCAATGGTCTATCATCGACCGAAACTAACGTTTGTGACATTGCGTAATATATGAAAGCAATAAAAATCTTAATTCAGAATTAAGCGGCTCTTAAAAACCATATTTTTGGAATAAGTTAACGAAACGTCACGTCAGAAACTTGTGAAAACCAGGAAATATCGCGACTCAAAGGACAATGACCCACTTCTCAAACTTCAGAACAGGGATCATTGCAAATGAGCGTCATTTAACGTGCAAAATACAGCATTCCGGAAGAAAGCAACTCCTTGCCCACACCGAATCAAGATCCTGTGCAAAAATGTCTATTCGATCGCAAAGCACACGTCACAAGATGGGAACATCTCAATGATAGGAGTATTGACATTAAAGAAAAAACCAGCGGGAAACGTGGCTATAAAGACATTCTCCAGCCGTGAGTAAAACATGACGTGAGTGAGTTTAATCCCACTTGTCGCGAGAGCTGAAGCAGCAGGCTGGAAGGTTCGAGAACTTACCTTCCAGCCCCTCACGATCAGTCGCTGCGGAGAGCCTCATCGGCGATAACGATCAATTTACCATCTTGCCTTGCAGAAACAACTTACTACCTCATCTTAGCAACCATTTCACATTAATCAAATCCAGTGAGAAACGAGCCGCAGCGTCTGTATAGGTCTATCACTCGATAGACCATTATATTTCGTTCTGGATTAATTGTTCTCTATTACAAACAGTATTCATGCAAAATATCTATTTTCATTTAGCGTTCGCACTGGTCTCCGCCAAGGTTGCGTCCTGTCCCCTATCCTGTTTGTGTTGTACATGGATAGAATAGTCAAGAGCTGCCAAGGCGATGAGTCTATCGCTATAAAAGACGTGAAGACGAGAAGGCTGCTGCTTGCAGACGATCTTGTTTTATTAGCATCTTCTGAAGCTGATCTGCAGTGCTCCCTAGAAACGTTCGCAGCAGAGTGCGACGTGACCGACATGCGTGTGAACGCATCTAAAACAAAAAGCATAGTGCTTTCTCGTTCTCCTGCCCGTTGCTCTCTTCAGATTAACGGAGATGCAGTGGATCAGGTGAAATTCAAGTACCTCGAACTGTATTTCCAAGTGATGGAAAATTTGAGGAAGAGATCGACCGGCGAATTGGAGTAGTCAGTTTCGTTCTGCGTGAACTAGCCCGATCCATTATGACTAAAGCAGAGCTCAGTCTGAAAACTCAGCCCTCGATATTTAAGTCGATCTTTATCCCCATACTTACCTGCGGTCATGAATCGTGGACCATCATTGAAAAACTTCGAACCCGGGTACGAGCTGCTGAAATGGGCTTTCTTAGACGAGTCACTGGCCTTACGCGTCTCGACATGGTCCGGAATAGTGACATCCGGAACAGCCTTCGTATACAACCTTTGCATCTCCAGATTGAGAAGTCACAGCTGCGATTGGTTGGGCATGTGTTGCGAATACCTCCAGAAAGGAAGGCTAAGCAACCGTTCCTTGCAAATCTGACCGGCAGAAGGCCTAAGGAACGGCCAAGATTAACCTGGTGCAAATATATGGAAGTACTCTGTTCCAGACTCCATTTGTCTTTTGCCGAAGCTCAGACTCTGGCACAGGATCGGGAACGTTGGAAGCTCTGTCTGACGTGTGTGTCTCCCCGACCCGAAAGGAGCAGCGTCGATTGAATATGAAGATGAAGATTTTGCAGAATTGGGGCATATATGTAGCCAAGAAAGCCTCATGGATGACGTTATTCTTCTCCAGACTAAGAAATTACGACTATGATGGCTTGGGAACGTCTTGCAAACGGATGCTGAAAGGAAGGAGAAACGACTAATACTTGCCCAAACCGACTAATCGAAGGACCTGGGGAACAGCAAAAGCTGACTGGAAGCCCGGGAACGTTGGAAGCTCTGCCTGACGTGTGTGCCTCCGCGACCCGAAAGAAGCAGCGGCGATTGAAGATGAAAATTTTGCAGAATTGGGGCATACATAGAGCCAAGGAAACCTAATGGATGACGTTATTCTTTCTCAGACTCAGAAATTACGACTATGATGGCTTGGGAACGTCTTGCGAACCGATCCTGAAAGGAAGGAGAAACGACTATTACTTGCCCAAGCCGACTAATCGAAGGACCTCGGGAACAGCGAAAACTGACTTGAAGCTAGTGCCTTGGAGGACTTTGCTTTATACTCTAGTTATTTCTTCATCTTCATCCTCCATCGCCGCTTCTCCTTTCGGGTCGCGGAGGCAGACGCGTCTGGCAGTGCTTCCAAGTTCCCGATCCTGTGCCAGAGTCTGAGCTTCGGCCAATGACAAATGCAGTCTGGAACAGACTCCTTCCATATGTTGAGTTATTTCTTCCAGAGCTAAAACGCTGACAGTGGATCCGAAACGCTGAAACGAAACACTCTCTGACGTGTCTGTCTCCGCGACAAAATGGTATGCTGTCATCGAAACTCACTGACTGGCCATTTTTATTTTGTTGCTTTTTCTTTATTATTTGGTTTTACTATATCTTTATTTATGCATAATAAGGATATTTGAACAATTTCGAGTAAGCTGCATATACGATATTTGGTAGCATATTTTTGCACATGAAGTAATCGGAATACACTGTACCTGATTTCTATGTCAGAAATCCCCGGATTTTGTCGCACTGTAACTTTTAAACGACAACGTGACTTGTGGTATAGCAACGTAAAAATGAATTGAATCCTTTCTAGAATGGCGTCCAGCAGCGAAAGTCTTGCTTATGATGAGCGGTTTTCCCGAAACGTTGACCGGTGCATAGCGAACGCGCTTATGAAAACCGGTAGTGGATTAGGATTGGGAATAATTTTGTCAGTCCTCGTGTTCAAAAGTGCGTATTTTGTTATTAAAACATTTTATGTTAGGTTTAGGTTTGTAGGTGAGACATAGTCTGAGAACTTTCGTGGTCCGCGCAGTTGTCTGACTTGGTTCATTTGGCGAGTAGCGTATCCGTGGTAACTTCCTCCGAAGAACAGACCGTAAGCGAAGTTAAAGCGATCCATGGTGTTTTTATCAGGCATAGGGTTTCTGTACTTTGTTAGTTTTTCGAAATTATTGTTTTAAAATTAACTTGGCGGGGACATTGCTGTCACTGGTTTCAATGTCTGTTTCTCATTGCCGTGAGTCATTTCAGACCGTTTCGCTAAAGGCAACGAAAAAATGTCAGTTTGTAACCACTGGAATGTCTGCCATCCTTGCACTTTCATGGTGGGACCATTTTTCCGCCCTTCTTTTCATGACGCCGATGATGATGCGGTGATCGCCATTTTTTTGCCAGGAGTGCCGTATTTTCAAGGTAGAGACAACGGTAGCTGTGGCAGGCATAGTGTCTGGTCTCCTGTTTCCTTTCAATAGAAGAGTACTCATTTATCAACCTCGGAGGGAAGAAAGGCGAGCGAACCGAGCAGAGCTCGGACTAGGGACCTTATGATTGTGAGTTCGACGTTCTGTCGAGTGAGCAACTCAGTCCTGAACTTTCAGCTGTTCAGTTGGTTTTCTTAGAGCAGCGACTTTTATGCCTTTTGAAGGCACATTATTCTTTCCTCGCTTAGCGGATTTCATTCTAGCCTTTCCCTTCCCCTGTTTCCTTAACTAGTCGAGTAGCTGGAAGATGAGTAAAACTTCTTCCTGCACGGTAGGTTCGTATTGCAGAACCAGCATCATTTTCTTCATTTGGTTTCTCGCTGGAGGAACACGAGTTCTAATCAAAACGGCGTCGTCCCATTCTGCTGCCATTTTTTCGCTTGATACGAAACCAGGGTAATTTTGCGCCTTCACCGTAAGTTGCCCTTGGTCTGTGGTTGAAATTATTTTTATGGAAAGATCAGCTGTTTTATAGCAACGGTTTTTGGATATGCTACGAGATCCCTTCGAGGCATTTATTGCTTTTGAATAGGTCAGTTAATTCCAATGCAGAAGCGAGTGCGCCGATATGCTTGACTGATGCAGAATTCGCAAAGCTTTAACCCACGTTTCTGAGTGTGCTTTGCTTAACCGGGGTTGAGTTCGGTATTGTTGTCGTTGACCGTCATGTGAAAGTGAACAATTCTTGATGTTGCTTTTGAACCGAAAGAAATCGTTCCATTTAATAATAGCTTACTCGAGCCTGCTTTGTTATATTTTCGTTAATCGAGCCAATTGCGCTTTTCGCTGCTTCTCACAGACTGACAAATCTCTTTCAGGAAAGTCATGGCCCATTTGGCTAAGCACTGGCGTTGGCATCGGCATGAGTTACGGAAGCTGCGATATTGCGTTGCGAAGCCAGTCCAAAAGCGTAAACGATGTAAGTACTACCACTTACCCCTGCCTAATTGTTTTCAACTCGTCGCAGCTCTCGTTAAAATTGCAGAACTTTACCTGGTCGAGCGAGTGGTTGGTGAGGCCCATTGTCTGTAATCCCTCAGGGAGACATATATGCAGGTCACACGGCCTTGTAGTATGTTAGCACCTACAGTGCGTATGATCATCTCGCATCATTTTGTTAGGTGACGTATAATCCTTACAAGATCAGATTTCACTACGTATTGCACCGTCCCATTGATCCTTCTTCCATAGGCGCCCATCTAAAACGGCCACGGCTCCATGGAATTTGAGTACCTGCCGTATTAGATGCATCTTATGACATTTTTTTCGCTAGAGCCACATCGCGCTCATCACGAATAACTTTTCATT